GGTGTTCAGTTCAGTGCCAACTGGGTGCTGTTCGTGTGCAGTTCACGTTCTCCTCATCTTTGCATTGAAACTCCCGTTTCCTAAGGATATGCCAATTAGGATGGACTGCCAACTCCATCAAAACCAAGAACAGGAAGCACTTCCTTACCTAAAGCAATGTGGGAATATGGAACGAGTTACTAAGTTGCTTTCAAGAAAAAGCTAGATGATTTCCTTAGATAAGTTAGCCACGCATTTTCAAATTACTGTGGCTAGACTGGCTGAATGGCCTCCTCTTATTTGTAACCTTGTTATATTCTTATGGTTGTCCTTAACTGGGTTGACTTCCTCACCTTTTTAAATGACTCAGAAACTGTACCTCCTTTACCCTGTGCTGGGATGAGATCGCACAGATTCCCTTTTAAATGTACTAGATCTGTTTACCCTCATGGATTAATTCACGTGTCCCAAAGGTTGGTTGCTTTATTGTTAGGGACAACGCATTTTTTCAGCAGAGTGGGTTTGTTTATGGTACTTACAACTTGTTACATTGACAGTAATTATAATTGTAAGTGTAAGAGGTAGGGCATTGACAGGCTTGGAGTATTATTCCTTCCATCTGTTAGAGCAGGTGAAACACAGGGAAACGCTACCAGCTGTTCCTTTCACCCCTATAGAGCCTCATCCGAGACCTGGTGAGACTCTCAATTACTGGGGTGGTAGGTTAATTAAGAACCCTTTTTGAGGTTTGCGTTCCTGTTGTGCATCACTGAGACACTTCGTGATTAAAAGACAATAATGATGGCATAACAATCACAATGTAGCTTCTTCGTGTTAAATCATTTTTCATTGGCTATACATCTTTCTGTATGAGAAAGACATTTCTGGATTGGCTTTTGCACAACTTGCATTGAGCTGTTTCTATTTTAAGGAAAGCAGTGGGTATTCACCATAAATATAAAGTCAGCAAAAAGAGCAAATTCTTTAGACATTCAGTATCTTTTTTAAATTGTTCTTTTCATGCATTGCAACACAGTAAATGTGGTAAATCAGCTGTACTGAAAGCAGACTTACAAGTCATATTCATTATGTTGTAGGACTGCTGTACACATTTATAGAGACTACCTTATGAGACTTTTAAAGTAGATAGCACGCTTTTAATGAGAGTTTTTATTTCCAGTGAACAGTGATAAAATAGTAATGTAAGAGGGAACTGTTCTATGTGTTTTTAATATTTCCATTAAATATAGATTCACCCTGTTCATTTCTTCAAAAAGGTGAAATACAGAATCACCACAGTGTCAAAAGTACTCTATAATGGTACTGTATCAAAGGTTTTATTGAATAGGTTAATCAGTACACTATATGAATCAGATATTCTTATATTAATAAATTTGAAATGTGTATTAATCTATTAATAGTAATTAGAAAACAGTACATTAGAAGACATTATGTTCAGCAATGCATAAAAATGAAACAAGTATTGGAACTAAAAGCATTTGTTTAATTTTAAAGTCATTCTCTATATTAATGGTTTAACATTTATTATGTGTTATTTTGTATTTGTTGTTTACTCTAAAGCTTACATTTTTTAGGGTACATGCTTTAGGTTACAAAAGTTAACCTCTGGGATTTGTTTGCTTTGCTGATTTTCTCTAACCTGCAAACTACAGTAGGACAGCTGGTTTATCTATAGACTAACTAGAGCATTCAATATCTACAGTATGTGATAATGAACAAACTTTTTTAGATAAGAGCTTCCAGATTTGTGTATGTATGTTGTTTTCTTTGCACTTTGCCTAGGTTAAGAAGAGGCATGCTATTTTCATAAGGAATATGTTTATGGGTGTGAGGCTCACACCCAAAGAAGGCTTCACAGCCAAAATGTTGTGATTTTTCTCTTCTCTTTTCAGCATGGAATAAACCTATTTCTTATTCCTTTACAGACAATGCATGCTGACACAGCTACCCAACTGAACTATTTTCATAATATTTAGATTCATTAGAACTATACTATTCAAGGACACAAAAACGTTTTAATATTTTTATACAGTAAAATGTAAACAGCTATCTACTTAAAACTCTGATATGCTTTATTTTTAATCATTTTTGGTGAAAATTGTGCTTTACAAATAGTGTAAAAAAGTTCAATCTAATAAGATGCGCCTAGAACATTTACTAAATGAGTCGTTCCTTGGATACAAGTAAAATGTTTGATCAAGGTTTAATTAAGGATTTTGCACAGTAAGATATCAATCAGAGTAAAGGAGTCTATCCATTGAGTTCAGTTTATCTTTTAACCCAGTTAAGTATTTTTGCTTTGAAATCTGAGGAGATTATATAAGCAGTTGCCTGAGGACATTCAGTAAACTGAAATAATTGTATTTTAGCTCTAATTTTTATTGACCGTTCTGTGTCTTCTTTATTTTACTTATGAAACTAAAACAAATTTTGTACATTTTGCATCAGCACATCATGGTTAATTTTAAAGCCCCCCATTTTCACTCAGTTTGATTTTATAATTGCTATAAATGGATGAAACAATAAACCTTATTGTCAGAGCAGAGATTTTATTTTGTTTTGAAGCATACAGTGTTCTCTTAAATAGGCAGACTGCAGAGTCCATCGTTTGAAACCAGCAGAGAGGAACAAGAGCTGCCTATGGTATTTCAGATGACACTGCAGAATTGCAGTTTAAAGTACAGATTTTTTTTCCTTAATATAAAATACATTCTTGAGATATGTGACTTCAAAAAAAAATGACAGCAGTTTTTTTCCAATTCTGTTTTTGCTGATGCTGCTTTACTAAGAAATGCAATGTAAAACTTAAAAATTAGTTTTGATATATTTAATTATTTTATTGAATTAAGTTACTCATACTTGCATTTTAGGTGAGATTTGCTCCCTTAGTGTTCTATTGCGCTTTGTGACTGAATCATAGTCTGTAGACTCTGGAGGGGGGTTAATTATGTTTTAAGGGATTCCTGATTATTAATAGCTTTAGTTACCTTTACAAGTGCCAGAAATCAATAAATATAGTAAAATCTGTAATTACAAGTTAGTAGCTACAATTAATTCCTTTCATTTGCATTCAGTTGTGGGATTTTGTTTAGCTTCTATCACTTTTTACTGATACATGTAGCCGCAGAAAGCCAGGGATTAGATTAATGGAGCAGTATGTCAAAAGTGAGGAATGGAAAAGATAAGACAAGCAGAGATGATATTCAGGATGAGCTGGAGTGGACACTGTATTGGTTAGGCAGCAGTGTACCAGGGCCTGGAGCAGAAGATGTGTAGAATAGTTGGTAGGGAGTGGATTCTTCAAATGGTGCTCATGATCAAGTGGCAGGACAATGCCAGAGAAACACTGTCCTGAAAATAGGAGGGGGGAGAGGTCAAGGTCAATACTGAAAACTTCCAAAAAGAGAGGAAGGAAAGAAGGTGGAGAGACTGGATAAGAGAGAGGCCTATGGAAAGGGAAGAAGAAGGAGAAAAATGAGGAGTGGCATTTAAGATGAAGACCATTTATCCAAGTGTAGATGGCTATGGGTCAAGCAGAGATAATGGGGGAAACATAAGATTCAGAGGAGGTGAAAGAGCGGGCATTTCAAGCATCATCAACATGATTACAATATGGTAAACCTGGCAGAGAGATGAGAGGACCTAGAGAGTGGGTGTAGAGAGAGACCAGCCATAGTTCCAGGAAAGAGCCTTGGGGGATACCGTGGGCAGAACGTGAGCCTAGATCTTGAACTTTTCTGTGTGTTATAAGTAGGCTAATTCATGATTAGAATACCATTTATGTGAAGCAGAAACCTGAAATGGATCAAGCTAAACAAATCAGATCCACAGATATAAGTACTATTCTGTTTCTTGAGTACTTGAATATATATCTTTAAAATACTGTATATTTGTTTTGCAACTACACATATTTGCAGGTGTTCCACTACTGCTGTTATCAAGTGAATCTTGAAAATATAAATGCACATGCAGAGGTTAACTAAAAATCAAATGTTTTCATGCTTCTATTACATATACTGTATACTGTTGTGTATGTACTGTAATGCACTAAAATCTGATTATATGAATTAAAGTTAAGTTAAAAAACACATTTTGTGCAGGGTTTGTTTTGTGTTGAGTGAAATCTCACAGTTTAAAGCAGTTTAAACAGTTTAAGGGGGTATATTTCAGAATGTCAGTAACCCTTTCCTTGAGCCAGCCCTGGTTAAGTCTTAATTTAATACTTAGTATTATTGTACTTTGTGTTGAAACAGGAGACTAAACTAAAGCAAAGATGCAATGCTTTAGGTCTGAAGGGCCACATTGTCTAGGTCTCTATAAATCATCAACTAAAGACCTTTGAAAATTGTTAAATTGATGTAGTCAAGATAATTATGTCAAGTAGTTTATTATGGGCTGAAATGAAAAATAAAAGCCCTAAAGCTGGGCCACAACTATAGATGTGTTTCTACCACTAGGTGGGGGTAAACTGCCAATAAGAAACAATGATATTGTAATTAAAATATTCTAAATTGTGTTATAAAGAATTATACCATTCTCTGCAAATTGACTTTTAACCTGTGTAAAACTATTGTGATGTAGAACTATGCTTGTATTCAGGCTCATCAGTGGAATTATAGCTTCAAGTTGACACCAATAAATGAAGTCTGATTTTGTGCTTTGAGCTCTGAACCTTGTTTCACTCAAGCTGTCAAACAAGCTGTGATGCCAAATCATTTAGTGTCCTTTGGTACATTCCAGTAAAGGTAAAACTTAAATCAATCAATCTTCCTTGGAGGAAAAAAAAAAGACTCATTTTTTAATGTTTTTTTTTTTAATTGTGTTCATTCATACAGTTTGATAGGCCCTGAAATCCACTCATAAAAAGAAAAGGGGTAGCAGCTCTGGCTTTCAGCATGCAAATATTAGGTCTTCATTTAGAAAAAGTAAAAGGATCACATTCCATTTTTAGGGATTCTCCCAAAATGAACTTAAAGTCTGTATTTTTTTAAATTTCTCAGAAGATGACACTCCGGCATGTGAACAGCAACCAGTGTCTCGACATGCCATCGGAGGAGGACAAAATGGTTCCCACCTTGAAGGACTGCAATGGCAGCCGATCCCAACAGTGGCTGCTGAGGAACATGACCCTGAGTGCTTGAGGCCAATGAGCACTCGACACAGACTGGCAGTATCCCCAGGGTTCTCACCATTTCATATCTAGGTTCTTTTAATGTGGATGAAGCAATGTCACTAACACTGCCTGGCTCCTTTAGTACTGTATGTGCAGAATCTGGTGGACTTGTGGACCATGGCTTTTCTTAGTCACAGCCTTGACACTGGAAGCGTACTCAACATGAAGCACTGTAAGATGCCGCAAGAGACACTGAATGCAATTAGCCATGAACATTTTGTGGTGCAAACAGACCAGAGAAGGGTTTAGCCATTCAGGTTCATTACAAAACTGTTAAATTATATCAAGGGACATTAAAGATCATTCAAGATGTTTCTGTCATACTCCTGAAATTGGACTTGGCAGAGTAAAGAAATGTATCCTTCATAAGTAGTAAACATTGAAAACAGTCACCGATATCTGTGTACAGATGCCATGTTATTGGATAGACTTAAATCAAATTAACACTCAGGGGATTTAGGGTATGTTTTGAGACTGTGCCCTATAAAAGTTCTTGGTAATGCCAAATTCACTAGGAGTATTAATTCCAATAAAGCGGCCAGACAGAGTACATTAACCTTTTTATCAAACACAGTTGGAGATAAATGGCATAATTTGGCAGCTGTAATGAAACTGCATATACTGTTCACTTTTTTTTTTGCCATTTTTTCTGGACTTGAGTCCAACAGTTTGTGAATGCCTGTCAGATCTTTGAAAAAAAATGAGGTAAATGCTTTTACAGATTGTGCAAGAGGGGAGATTCTGGGAACTTCTCTGTATTTTCAAGACTTGTCACTGTATATATCAAGAGGTATAATGAGGATTTTTTTTCATAGCATAAAAGAAGAGAAAACGAAGATGATGGTGATTAGTGCTACTGTATTTCAACCTTTGTGTTCACAATGACTGTGACTTGTGTTTTGCTCTTTTCCGTTAGCTAAGCTAATTGGTTAAAGTGAGCATGAGCAATTACAGATCAGTTTTAACTTAATTCTTATGAGAGATGAAAACCAGGCGCTACAGGATCTGCATTGTATATACTATAATAATAAAACATTTTATTAATATGTAATATTTTAAAGGATTAATAAATGCATAAAACAAAATGGGGAAAAAGAAAGACTAGTAGTGCCTAGTAGATGCGGTGTCAATGGGAGTTTATTTTTGGTACAAACTTTTAATTATACTCTAATAGCAAAATATATCAATGCATTAGAACATGTGTAATAGTCATTGCATTTTTATCATTTTTTTACATGGACCAAATTATTAGTAAAAAAATATCAATTGTAAAACAATTGTTTAGGACTCCAAAGCCTTTTTCCCAGTTAGAAAGGGTTAATCATGTGAGGAGTCATGTCTCGCCTAGAATTTGTGTTGTTGTCAAATATACTTTCTTAACTGTTTGTATAATATTTGTGTTTTGGGTATTTCATTTTCTTTTTGGTTATTTTCATATTCTTTTCATATAATGTGCTCTGAATAATTGACAAAAGCTAAAGAAGGCAAAAGCAGAGTGGGGGGGTACTAAGAAACAGAAGACCTAGTGGAAGATTAGTTCAGATGTTAGTGGTCCATTCTTTGGAAATGTATTTACTGGTGTCTCTTTCTATCGTACTGCAATGTGGCTGAGAAAAATTAAAATGGAGTAGGAAAAAGGTTATGGATTATTTAATTTCAGAACTGCTCATCTCATTGTTTGTTTGAACTAACATCATACTGTGTGTTCCAGTGCTCAGTTGCATGGTTTTTTTTCTGTAAAATAGAGTTGTTAAAGTTGTTGCTTTAAATCATATGGAATTGTGTAGAACATCAGCTTGAGAATGCGCAACCCTTCCCTTTTACAGCAAGCCAAAAAAGGAGCTTCTTTGTGTTTTTGGAAGCTTGAAAGGAAACAGTCAGCCTGACAGCACAAGTCAAAAGATGATGTTCTCGAAGGGGAACAGCCACTGGATGTTGCAGAGTTAGACTGAACAGTAAATACAATTTTGTCTTGAAATAAAAAAGAAACAAATTAAAAATGATTTGAAATTTTTCAGGTGATACATAATCCAGAGAAAGTTTACATAGCCTGTTCCAATAAGCAACCTCAAAAACCTGTACTATCAAGGCTAAACTCTTTTTCTTCGGTCTACTATTAAATACGGAGGACTGTAAATTTACCACTCTCGGCAAGGTTCAACAACAGTAGTTTTGTATCACTGTTTAAATGCATTTATATGAACTCGCTCTAGGTTTTAGTAGTTCTGTACATATCTTGTTCAAACCAATGAAATGTTAACCATTCACATTTATAGAAATATTTTAGCTTACATTTTTTTGAAGAATTGCAGTCTAATATTCTCACACAAAACACTTTACATTGTAAATAATTGTCTATGATCAGATAATGTATGTATACTGTATACAAAACAAAATATTTTTTTAAGAAATATTAATGGGATAAAGCCCTATTTAAAATGCAGGTAAGAAAGTTAACTCACTTGTAAGTATGCTCTGCAATTATTTTACATGTTATTATTCACCAATAGTGGAGGAAATGCCATGTTATGTTTAAAAATATTTAGTATGTATAAATAATTGACCTATAGTTTTTCTCAAGTTTCATCCAAAATCAGCAGAAAATTTGCAAGCCAGAAAAAAAAAATGTAATCTCCAAGATATTTGTAAGTAGGTCTCTGATAGAAAACGTTTTCTTTTTACAAAGCAACTTGTGTAAAATTGTTGCTGTGCTGAAGTTTTATTCACTCTAATCTTGAATACTCAAAACTTGCCATTGAAAACTTTTCAGTGATTTTATTTTATATTCTCAGTTCTCTGTACATATCAGGTATACACCATTAAGATGGCTAGTACTGTAAAGTTGGGCTTTTCTAAAGGTCCTCTGATGCTGCTATTTTCAGTGCATGGTTCAGAGTTAAAAAGATGTTTCTGTTCAAAGGATTCTAAAAAAAACTGTTGTACCAGTCTTCAAGTGATGTCAATTGCCATTGCTGTATAATTAAAAATTTGTACATTTTTGACTTATTAAACTTTACAACTTTATGTTTGAGTTCATTATTCTTTACTCGTGAGAAAATATTCTGGGTCTAGTTTCTAGCTATAGGTCTACATATTAAGTAGACCTTGGAGTTCTAAACAAAGACATACTGTAGATTTTCATATATACTCTATGAGTGAATAATGGCTTTGTGGTTTTTAAAATTCTTTATACAAGGAGAGTGTTCATATGTTATTTTGGTTACAGTGATCTTTATCTCATGATGTTTGACTTTGTCAATCTCAGCACAGTTCCTGTTATACATTCAATAATGTGAGTGCTCCTAAATAAGGGCATTACCCAGAGTGAACTTGTTGAAAGTGTTTAAGAAGAGAACAAATCACTGGAAAAAAAAAAAACAATTTTCATAACTTTATGAAGCAACAAATAACATGACAGGTAATTTTAAAAGTGCCAGATGGGAGATGTCATACCACTGACAAATGAATCAAATACTGTATGTATAGGACCATGAACCCATAGTATCAAATTAAAAAGGTTGGACAAAATAATAAGTACCTAAGGAAAAAAATCGGGCAATCAAAGCTTACTCTCCCTAAGGAAATACATGCAAGTTCTATTTTCTAATAATCATGGCAGCACCAGAACCATATTTCTGAAATCCAAGGATTTTTTAATACTTCTGACATCTAATAAAACAGCATGTGCCTCTGTGCTTGCTTTGTTGCATTAACATGATCATGCACCCCCCCCCAATTGCAATGTAACCCAGGATACACATTCTTCAAATTACACTATAGTGGTACAAACAGACCAGGATGCATCACAAACATGGTATTCAACCTCTGAGACTTCCACTGAAATAGGGAATAGTGAACATGACTGTCGCCAGGAAACACTTCATCATTTTTTTTTATCTCCTGCAGACGCTACAGTATGTGCGTTTAATTTAATATTGATTAAATCCAGTATGTCTTATTCATGTTATACTGTTAATACAGTATATAGTAATGACTAGATGGCTTTTGCCATTAAAACATATTATACACATTTTGTAAGTTAAAGCTTAAGCATTTTATTATCTCTTGATTTGGTTTTTAGGTCTTGTAAAATGGATAGGGCAGGTAAAATGTGCAAGCTTGTTACATACTGAGTTATTATGATGTGCTTCTTAAAACATGATATGATCGCAAGTCAGATTGTATCTTGTGATTATATACTCTCTGTATAGTACAGAATATACAGTACTTTTATATTTAGTACATCTCATCTTGCAGAGTTTCATGCATTCTCTCCTCAGCAACAATCTGAAATCCATGCTAAAATGAAACTCACAACAAGTATCCTTGTATCTTGTTTCCACTGTAATAATATCTCTAGCCATCAAACTTGTGGTTATTACTGGCCTCTAAACTTACAGTGATAACTACATCTCTCTGTTAAAAAAAAAATAAACTTAAACTCGGTCTTGCTCTATAATTATCGACCATTATCTAACTTAACGCTTTTGGCAAAGGGCCTACAAAGGAATGTTCCCTTCCAGTTACAAGATCACTTATGTGCAAATACGCTCTATGAGCTGTTTCAGTCTGGGTTCAGATCGATGCAGAGTACAGAAGCTGCTCTTATTAGGGTTACTAATGATCTGCTGATGTCTGCTGACTCTTATTTATCCATTCTTGTCTTGCTGAACCCCAGTGCTGCCTTTGATCATATGCTCTTGCAGAAAAGATTAGAGAGATTTGTTGATATTACCTCTACTGTTTTTTTCAGTTTCATAGAAATTCTTATCTACAATTGATAGGTATCTATCTACAGTATGTGCTACCATTGAGTCAGATTCTTTGTAGGTAGTGTGCCATCAATTAGTATTTCTATGCTGATGACATTCGACATTTATGTTTGTGCAAAATGTGTCATTAATCAAAGCTTGTCACACTGCTTAGATTATGTTATAAATAAATGTGACAAAATATTTTATATCTGTACTCAGACAAGACTAGGGTTAAAGTAGTTCAAGTAGGTAGCTGCATCAGCATGCATAGGCTGCAAAGGAACAAGTAAAGGTTTATTCCATGCTGAAAAGAGAGGAAAAGAAACACAACGTTTTACTTGTTCCTTTGCAAGACTAAGGTTATGCTGATTTGCTATCAACTCTGCAAAATTGTTAACCTTAGTTTGGCCATTATACTGTATGTTCCTTGAATAGGTCCAAGTTGTCAGGTCAGGAATCTTTGTTTCATCTTTGATCCAAATCTTGCATCTAAATATCATACTTTGAATATTTTTTCAAGGTGCTTTTTTCATTTTTAAATATTGCACATATCAATTCTCATATTTCCCAAACTGATTCAGAAAAGCAAATGCATGCTTTACTCTAATTCAAGCCTGACTGTTGCAATGCAGTACTAGCTGATGTATCCAAACATTCTTAATAAATTGCAGCATATTATGGATTCAGCGGCTTGGGTCTTAACAAAAACTAAAATGAGCATGAACGCATGAGCATTAATAATCTGTTTTAGCTTCCTTGCAGAGGCACCCTGTGGATATTTTAATGAAATTACTGAGGCTTTCCTTTAAGGGCTTGAACGGTTTTGCTCTAGTTGTGTGAGAACTAGTTCCCAGTACACCAGCATTTTGTTCTGACCCTTACCTTTCAGTTCACAAAACTAGGTATTTGGACACTGGGAAACTATGATTCCTGGATTCCAAGCATATGGAATAAAGGCCCAGACCATCCCATATCTATACAAGTCAGTCAGCAACTCCTTTCTCATAATTAATTTGATGTTCTAACCTTTGTGTTTGTTCAGTTTACTGTGTTCATCTGCATATACAATTCCTGCCTCTAATGCTTTATTGTAAAGCAACTTGAGATGATGTTCAGTATCAAGAAAGTCAGTATACTCTATAAAATAAAAATGGTGATAATGATTATTGTTGTTGGTAGTGGTGTTCATGGACTGGGTGCATAGACAGAGATGCATGTCTCTGTGTAAAACAAAGAGCACTAATCAGTTTGAATATTAGTCAAGGTTACAATGAAGGGCTCAATCAAAATCACAGAACCTAAGGAAACAAAACATTTTGTAAAAGTGTCCTGTGATCATGAAACTATTCCTTTGATCTCTTTTATAAATGACATTATTTTAAACCTTCTCTGAATGCCATCGGCACATCTCTATTTGAACTTGCCCACGTAAAATACTGCTTTGTTAGACTTGATTTCCATTTAATCTTTTCGTTCTTGCCTCATTACCTCAGTGCAAGAGAAGAAGATTGTCCTTTTCTTCATTTAGATTCCCTGGGGTGCTAATGAACCTATATCCTGCACAGTATATTAACCCATATTCTATTATCTATCATAACCTTCCAATGAATATTCCAGACTTGAATTCAGCTGTGGCTAGCTATGTAGAAAAGTGTCTAGCTTTTTTCTTGCTTTTATTTTTCCTGCAAAATAAAATGCCTGAAAAAGGCTGTTCTAGATGATTTTTAGATTTAGTGCTTCACAACACACTTTCATGTTCACTCGTTTTGTTTCAAATTTCAAAATTCACAAGTCTATAAACATCTGTCACAGGGAAATCATCGAAGATCTGCTTAAAATTTGAATTTGAGTCTAAGCAAATGGGAGAAGTGGTGCAATTAATTTACTGTGTGATTAACGCAATTTGCTTAGGTTTAAACAATTGCACTGTAGCAGGCTCATTTTTGCTGAGGTGATGTATTTTGAATAAATATTTGTAAACCTCTCCTAGGCAACCACTCCAACTTAATTAATGACACTTCACACAACTAAATCTCGCCCTGGCTGTACAACACTTTACCACATACGCACAGCAGGAGTACAGGGTGAACAATCAACCAGCCTCACACCTGTGTGCTGCAGTGCTCTGCTCAATATAAACAGCATCTGTGGATAAGATAGCAACACAGTAAGCAGTAAAGTGGGTTGATTAGAGAGCAAGCAGTTTAAAATAATACTTTAATGGGTTTCTTATCACTCCCTTAACTTTGTATTATGCTTGCTATGGTTCTGAAAGGTTCTGACATTTTTTTAAATAACACTCAAGTATTCTTCTCAAATCTTTTAATCTATAATACAAATAAATTAATGTATGTATATATTTACATCATATTCAGTTACCTGTACACTGTCTTGTTAATCTGAGCCAAAATTTAAAGACCCATTGAATTTAAAACATGATAAACGTTAGCTGACGTCCTCGATGTTTAAAAAACTTTTTCAAGATTTTTTTCAAGAAGAAAACTTAATTTAAAAAAACCTGAGGGGAAAATTAATCTAAAATAAAGAGTAATTAGTGAGAGACACTACACTGGAGGTCAGTAGGCCAATTGAAATACTGCAAAGTTCGAATATACTGTATTAGACCAATTAGCTGTTTTAAAGATATCAGAAGACAGAAATTAAAGACAAACTTTTCATCTAACAAAAATATTTTAAAAGCCACACCTGTGTCTTTTGAGACTATTTTTATTACAGTGAAGTGAAAATGTATTTTAAGATATTTTAAAAAAAAGGATTGCTGAAGATTATACTAAAATCTAGCAAGAACTTTATTTTCATTTGCTGTTCATAGAAGTGAAAATAAGACTATAGTCTTTGTGGTGGAGGAGGGGAGTTCCCATTACTGTCTGGAAAAGCACTATATAAGTGTAAGCAATTACTATTATTATAATTAATTATATAAAAACACTTCTAATGTGTCACCTAAAGGTGAACACAGTTTTATTATATAGCATTGTTGATTCATGGAGCTCATCTGATTCCTCCTCAACAAGGACAAACCAGAAATACTGTAATTATTTACTTGCATTTGTATAATACTTTTTCCACCCCCAAAGAATCCTAAAGAACTTTTCCTATATTAGGGGATATTCCTCATCCACTACTGAAGTGTAGCGCTCACCTTGGTGACATGCAGTATTCATTCTTTACCAGCAGCTCCAGTACACTGTATATCAGGTGAAGAAATGAGAAATTGCTTCTTCAATTGAAATAAAGGGGATCTTTTGG